TATTAGTATCCCTGTCCTATCCTAATACAGTGGCTTTATGATTGTGCTATTGATTTGTGGTCAGATAGTATCATTTTTGCCTATTCTGTTCTTTGCATCTGGTAGTGATTGGCTGTAAATGTCATTCAATTTGCAGCTTTGTAGTTTTCGGGGAGTTTGTCATTCGTACATTTCTCAGGCATTTTCCCACTCCATGTGGCAGTCACTGGTGAAAATATTCAATAGCTTCACTTGTAACCTCCTTTCTGTGCAGTAATTAGCATAAACTGTTTCTCATTAGCCAGTCCGTATCCTGCCTTATAGCTATTAAAATTATCATCTAACTGGTAATCCTGCACAATACACTGTGCCCGGTTACAGATCTGCTATTTCTGTTGTAATTGACATTATTCAAATAGAATGGCAATGAATGCTGTCACTACAGGGGAATATTTTTGCTGCCTCATAAAGGTCGTACAGTCTGAACTTCAACATCCATAAAGGATGGATGAACAATTTGAAGATTTTTGAAAGGAGGTTTTACTTCTGCAGTATGTCATGAAAAATAGTGATTTATTTTCATACTTACTTGTAACTTTGTAATTTTATGTGTTCCTGTGGGTATGGCATGGTGCAGCATCACAGTGCTAGTATCTGTGAAGCTGTAAGGTGCTGTCCTGTAGAGCTAAGGCGGAGACTCTGGAAGCACTTAAGCGTTTTGTTGAACGATGTCCACATGCACACTGTTAGTTTTCCAGAGGGAATTTAGGCAGTTTAGACTTGACAAATTCAATTTAATTATTTAAAATCTGATCTCTGCTTCTTATAAACACCTTTGCATGTTTTTAATTGTTAAAATACATAAATAAAATTTGGGAGGACTCTCTGATATTTGACTCAACGCATTTCTGATATCTCATGTCTGATAGCTGAAGAGATAGCTGTCTTGTATGTATTATTCCTGGAATTCACTGTTTAATGTCTTAAAAAGTAGATTTTGGAACCTGTTCTGACCATCTGAGGAAAGTCCAACTGCTGAGTTCTCTTCTGTGGATTTGGTACCTTAAATCATAGCATTGTTTGAGTTGGATGGGACCCTGAAAGGCCATCTGGTCCAACTCCCCTGCAATGAACAGGGACACCCACAGCTCCATCAGCTGCTCGGAGCCCCGAGCTTGGGTGTCTCCATCAATGGGGCATCCACCACCTCTCTGGGCAGCCTGTGCCAGTGCCTCACCACCCTTATTGTAAAAAACTTATTTCTTATATCCAGTGTAAATCTCCCCTGCTTTAGTTTGAAACCATTTCCCCTTCTCCTATCACAACAGATCCTTATAAAGAATCTGTCCCCTTCTCACAGCTTTTCTGTAGAAACTGAAAGGCCACTCTCAGGTGTCCCTGGACCCTTCTCTTCTCCAGGCTGAACAGCCCCACCTCTCTCAGCCTGTCTTTGAAGGAGAGGTGTTCCATCCCTTGAATCATTTTTGTGGCTCTCCTCTGGATGCACTTCAGCAGGTCTACATCTCTCCTGTATTCCACATCTGGATGTAGTACTCCAGGTGAGGCCTCACCAGCGCAGAGCAGAGGGGCAGGATCACCTCCCTCAATCTGTTGGTGGGTCTTCAAGCAGATTCTTGTGTGCACGTATGTTGGTTTGTGCATTTGAAGTTGATTAATATAAATCTCATGACATCTGACTGTAGAAGCTGCTGAGCATCTTGGGCTGCTTATAGGTTGAGTGAATTGCACATTTAAAATTGTTAGGATTAGACCTGTTCTTTTGGTGTCATGTTGTCACGTGGCATTTAAAAGTGTGCAAGTGCTGTCTGGTGCTCCAAACTGAAGATAAGGAGCATCTGTTGTGGGCTAAGAGTAGCACCTAGTGTATCCTCATGTTCATTAATTGCAGGGAAGATACAGAATGGTGCTCAAGGAATAGGCATGGCCCTGAGTACAGTACAGCGCTATGCAGAGCTGCACCATGCAAGGCACATGGTGGTACAGGATGGTTGAATTGTCTTGTAAAATAGAACTGTGTTCTCTGAAGCTATTTTATAGTATTTTCAAAATGTTTGTCAACTTGTTTTTATCTTCCTGTTCTTGGCAGTTTGGCCTTGCCCTGGGAACAGCTTGTAAACTCAGATGAGTTGAATGCTATGTTATTTGTCATATTTTGTTTTCCGTGTTTACACAGGGAAAAAAAAAAGACATTCTAATGTATACTAATAAAAATTTGGCATTAGATGGTCTGGTGCTAATAATATTAGTTAAAAGCTTGTATCTTTGCTTCATGTGGTTTTGTACAGCACATCAAAGGCAAGTCACCTGTAGCATCCATGTTGAATGAGGGCTGCAGCGAGAAATCTCTGTGGTCAGTGTGCCCTGCTCTGTGTCTCCTGCTCAGGAGAAGGGGTGCCTTGTGGCCTTGCCCAGCAACAGAGGATTCCCAGGCCTTGATCACATCTTGTTTGGAATCCTTTCAGGAGGAAGGAGGGAAAGCAGGAAGCAGTCTGCCTGTGTCGCTGCCAGCTGGCTCAGCCTACAGCCTGGGCTGCTGTGTTAATAGGCAAAAATAGTTTCAAAGATGGTCTTTTTCACTTTCACTGGAAATCAGTGGAGATTGTTTCAAGAAGTGGTAATTCTGCTGAAAATGGAGTAATAATGAACATATTAAAAATACTGTTTTGCTCACATCATTGGTGATGATGTCTGGTTTTCCTAGCCTAAGAAATATTTGAGCAAAAGCCAGGTTTAGACGTGCACTCGTTTAATAAGGATTTTCCCATTAGCTGTATACTTTTCTGATACTCACAGAGAAACCTATCTGATAGTTCATAAAACTGTGAAGTTGAGGCTGTGGAGCCCAGCTTTTCCACGTGTGCTGCTGCACAGACAGAAACCAGTGACCTGGTACAGGGGAAAAGTTGCATTCCTGAATCTTGTCTTAACGTAACCTGGTTTCCATAATGTGCACAGTTATACTGCTGTGGTTTTATTTTATTTATTTACTGTTTTCCCCTAAAACTTACACTCCTGCAAAATACTATACTGCAGGCTTTTAAGTTCCAGCTTTGACTGCTGCTGTTCCAATACGGAGTGGATCTATAGCTGAAGAGCAGATAAACTTTTTTCCGTGATTTCTGAAGCTTGTGCGTTAGTTTTTCTTTTAAAGATTTACACCAGTCAAGATCACATGTGGGGATTACCCTAATTGGTTACAGTTGTCTAAATTCTAATGAGTAATATGTGGTGTGTAATGCTTGAACAGATAAGTGCCATGCAAATGGCAGTGATGAAAAAAGTTTACTGAAGTGATAGTGATCTTTACATAGTGTGTCAGCAAGATGGAATGAAGGGAAACTCTTTATTTAACTGGAGAGTCGAGGAGTCTCAACTCTCACTGCTAAAAATCATGAGCACAGAAACTTAGATTTGATTACAGAAGTTATGTTTAGTTAGTATAGTTTAAAGGAGATTTCCCTATTCTAGTCATGTTTTGTTGATATGGTAATGAAGAAATGACTACTGATTTATTCAGTGGCATGAAAAATAGTGGGACATTTTATATTTCTAGACTTCTAATTGATATAAAAAATTGGCATTTATATTTAGAAGTGAATTTGAGAGGAAATAACAGAAACCTACATGGAAAATCTGCAGTGTTGACACAAAACTGATCTGAAAATTGTATGATGTTTAAGCTGTTACAAGATCAAAAGTGGGAGTTTGGCTAATACTTTAACGAGTGGAAACTTTCTTGTCAGTGACATCTCAGGGCTTTCCCTGTAAGCTCTTTCTAATTGGACTAAAATATACAGCCAATAAATAAACGAATGAATGAATGAATAAAATTGGGTGTTACAGTTCTCATCTAAAGACAAATCATGCGAGATAAAAGGCAGTGGTATTGCAGAGTATTATTGTCCAGAGCTTTAGTCTAGAATATCAGTAGATTGTTATGGTCTAGAATACAAGCTTACAATTTTTGTCTATAGTTGTCTTCAAAGATCTGTATAGACTTGTACTAGTCTATTTCTAGTAGAAGACTACTACAGTACATGTAGTACATGCCTACTGATTGCCTTCTCTTGTTAGGGAAACCATGTTGTATATACGTGTGTGAGTGTGTGTGTGGAGTTTTTCATGTGAATTTTTAGTAAACAAAATGGAAGTCTCATTCAGAGTCCTTCTCTAGGAGATAACTGATTTCTTTATGTTCTAAAATACCATCTGATTTGCTCTAGAGAAAAAAATGTAGTGTTGGATTTTTCCATTCAGCTAGCTTAGCTACTAAAATAACAATATTGGAACAGCTGAATATGCCTGTGTGTATCAAGATAGAGTGGAATTTCAATCAGAACAGCAGGAGGGAAAAGTGAAGGGAGATAATGATTAACTTGGGAAGTTGGGGAAGCATATATGGAAAAGTAAGTTGATGGTGCCACATAATATTGTTCAAATAATTCCTTTGCCTCATGGCGGAAATATGCAAGTTTTGTTTTTCAGTATTCCCCATTATTTTTCACACAGTCTGAATTTTCCTTGAATAAAAGTGCATTAAATATACCTGTGGTGTTCTGTTTTAATTGAAGTAAATAGGGCAGAATAGGATTTGACATGATTATGTAGTGAAGTAATGAGTTTACGATCCAGCTGTGCTTTACAGATTAGCTGATACCTACTGCCCTTAGTTACCTTCTCAATTGTATTTGTAACGTTGAGCTCTGAGCTTTTAATAAATTACTTGGTCAGACTAGGATCACGTGGAACACTTTAGGTCTCTATATTGTTGATCTCAAATAAATGACCTCTGTTAAATTAACACATAATCAGTTGTACTCCTTATTGAGAATGCATGCAGTAGGTTTACCTGCTGTTGTTCTTAAGGTTTATTTGACTTCAGAGGGATTCATTTATTACAGCAAAGTAGCTGAGAATGTAACTGTAGGCTTTTGTGTGTGTGTGTGTGTGTGTGTGTGTGCGTGTAAAAATATGCAGTTTTATAACTATAATATCCACAGGTTTTGGGACCTGCCCCTAAATGGTGTTCTTTCTTGGACAACTTGACTGAAGAGCTGGAAGAGAACCCAGAGAGCACAGTTTATGATGACTACAAATTTGTAACCAGAAAAGACCTTGAAAATTTAGGTAAAACATTTGAATCTCCTTGTTAGTTGATATCTTTGCTCAGGTTTTTTTGTTCGCCTTGTTTGTTTGTTTGTTTACCATTTACACATTTATAAGTTTTGTAGTTCGTATGTGACCTATCAGTGAGAAATGTTGGGGAACCATTCAAAATTCATTGGCAGTAGTTTCTTCCAGTCATCTTGGTTATTAATTTAGCAGACTGATGACCTTTTGTTCTTTGGTTTGTTATAAAAGATTTCTTTTTTCTCGGTTTTGAATTTCTAAGAAGATACGTGGAAGGAAAATTTGAAAACTCTTGAAGTATTTTGGTTCTTACTCTCAGGTTAAGGCCTGGGGTGATAGTTTTATGATCTGTTATGGTACTGTATTTCTTTCACCATGTTGATTCTTCAAAGATAGTGACCTAAGGCAAAATTCTCTGAATCAAAACGTCTCTATGCCACAGTAAAAAAAGTGATTGTCAAACATGTATAGACTTTCTGTTAAAAAATCTCTTAGTTTTTCTTTATAAAGTGGCTATGGTTTGCAGTGCTTGTAGGCATCTTTAAAAAGCATAACATGTAAGAAATACTGATTCTGATGCTCTGAAGTAGCTTAGATTTCTTGCTGTCTGGTTTTTTTTGTTGTTGTTTAACTTAGTCTTGATGTACTGGGTGTGACTGTTAGAGATTGATGCATCGCGTCAGCAGTTCTTGTTTGTCTTGAACTGAGTAAGTGAAGTGGCTAGCTCAGAATAGTTCTTTATCCATGAAAGCTCTTTGAAATCCTCTGCAATTTTTTCCCAGGCCTTGCTCATCTCATTGGATCATCATTGCTCAGAGCATATATGCATGGTTTTTTCATGGACATAAGGCTTTACCATAAGGTAAAAGAGGATGATGCTTGTAAACTTTCACTATTAACAATAAAATATGTTTCTCCCCACAAACAGGACTGCATCCTGTATTAATGATGTTCTTTTTACTTTCTTCTGCTTAATCAAAGGCAAAAATGATGGCCAACCCTTTTGCTTATGAAGAATACAGAAGAGAGAAAATAAGACAGAAAATAGAAGAAACACGTGCACAGAGAGTTCAGCTGAAGGTAAATGAATATGCTTCTGAAAACATATTCATAGAGTGATGTATTCCTAAGTGTATCTTAGAGGTGTAATTACTTAGGACTTGATTTTGTTTATCATCAGAAACAAAAAGTAAACTTAGCTTTAATTTATCAAACTTTTGATTGGAGCCATAAAATTCTTATGCATATCAATCCCACAGATGAGTGACTCTGCTGCTTGAGCAGATAACCTGGTGATAAAACTTGTTGTTTCTGCTTGTCTTTACCCTAAACGCCTTATTTCATTAAAATGTGTACTCTGAAAGGAGATATATAAACACAATACTGTTTTCTATATCAGTATTCTATTTATACCAGCATTCCATGTATATTCTTTAGAAACTTCCCAAGGTCAATAAAGAGCTTGCCCTCAAACTGATTGAAGAAGAAGGAGAGGAACAACAGGCTACTAGAAAAAGGAAACAAAAGGTGAGCGTCTGTTTTAGGTGCTTCTCTAATCTGGAATGCAGAAATGGTAATGCTTACAGTTACTGACTTGCTGTTTTCTGCCCAAAAGATTCAAAAATCCATTCTTTCTTGTCTCATAAATAACTTACTCTACTGGGTGACTGTAAGATTGACTTCTATAACTAAAGAGCTAGAAAGGCCCTTCAGTAACATTGTCATCTATATTGCAAATTTTGAAATACCTGCCGTTGAAGATGATAATAAGCTTTGTAGGGGTCCAGAGGCTAGTTGAATACAAAATCAATACCACAGTTACTCAATTAAAAAGAAAAAAAAAAAAGCATTTTTTTTCATTTGTTAGTATTTTGGTGGTAACCGTGACAAGATAGATGTAATGGGTATAAACGAGGAGCAGGAGGCTGCCTGAAGTTGTATTTCAATATAATTGCCTTTCTTTCTTTATAAAATGTAGTCAACTGTATATAAAGTAGCTAAAATAGCTCATTCTTATGCAACAGAAAATTTTACTGATGTTGAAGTAATCCATTTTTATCCTGGAATCAGCATAAAGGAAAAAAGTCATTAATGTTTAGTTTCTAATGGGAGCAGATGGCACAGCAGAAGTTTGTCTTATCAGCCTCTTTATATTAGCAGAGTTCAGGTTCTTTATATAGGTAGCATTTTATAGGTGCTCATTCTCACAGGTGTGCTGCATTCACAGCAGGCAGGTATTAGCTTTGTGTGGCATGTAATGAAACCAGTTGATATAGTGGGAAGTATGAACTGCTGAAAAAGTGGGTGGTATTAAAACCTTAAATTTCAGCTTTCTAAGCCTGTGTTGAAATGAGTACCTTATGTGGGGGGTGATTTGCCCAGGAACACATTGCATCTTTACATAGATTAAAAAGAGTACATAAAGATGCATGTTCTGATTATTTGTGACTGTGGGACTGATTGAATTTTCAGCTTCCAAATTAAACTGCAGGTCATACTTTTGCAACAACTTCCACATTTGAAATTTACACTTGTTTTCTCTATCCTTTTTCCCCACTTGATAGATAAAAATGAAAATCTAGTGCTAGTGTGGGTTGAATGGGAAATAAGTTTGGTGATATTAAAAGATAAGCTTTTATTGTAAAATGTGTGTATTTATTGATTTGAAACAATGACAGCCAGTATTTGTATGAGCTGAAGTTGTAATTTGATCTGTTCTTAATTCACCTCATTTACACTGGGTTCATATTTTTTTTTTTCTTCAGCATGAATGAAACTGCTTTTTTCTTTCCATATGTGAGGACAGTGAAGAAATTGTCATAAGATGTATAGAAATACTTTTATGTATTTACAGTAAAACAGCAGTAGCATTGCATAAAGAAGTGTTTACCCTGATGATTTTTTTTTTGTGTTGTAAAGTCATTCTCATCCAGGCAGAATATTTGTACTCAGCGGTACTGCTGATTAGTCAATAGATACCAGCATGTCTCCACACTATCTGGCTGAATGTATGAGAAACATTGATTCAGAAATACCAGTAATTGTGTATTCAAGGTGTCTGTAGTGTGCATAAAAGCCTGTCCTGCCTACAGGAAGCTTAGAATGATATTTATTTGATGTTTGTGAAAGTAATAGAATACATAACGATATAACGAAAAATTTCAATTTATATGACCTGGAAGGACAAAATAACTGACACATACTGCTTTTGAACTTTGCTTAATTGAAAAGGTGTGACATATTTTTACCAATGTCCGTTTTGGAATTTTATAACTAACTGATGCTTCGTTTCTTTTCCAGAATCTGCCTAGCCTTCTCAAAGATGATCGTTTTAAGGTCATGTTTGAGAATCCTGATTTCCAGGTAGATGAGCAGAGTGAAGAATTTAGGCTACTTAACCCACTTGTTTCTAAGATAAGTGAGAAAAGAAAGAAGAAACTTAAGCTCTTACAGGAGCAGGAAGCAAGAGAACAGGTAAAATATTCTCTTTTTGGACTGGGAAAAAGCAGTATTTTTCTTTGTTTCAGATTTTCAGATTTTTCATCCTGAAAGAAGGAAGCAATGCAAGTCTCTCTTATCAGCTGCACTACGTAGATGTGATTGATAATATTATCCTAATTTTCAGATGTATGCCTACATCAATGTAGGTTTGAAGGACATACGATGTGTAGGCAGAGATAATTTTATTATTTTTCAGTGCTGCATTAGCTGATAGTGCTTTCATTCAAATTGTGTCTCTCTTCAACTATATCTGTGTAAAATCTGTCAGTCTAATTGCAGGAATGGTTCGAAAAGAAAATTAGTTGATGATTACTTATTTTATACTATTTTTGTCTGCAGGAAGAGGAGGAAGAACCAGAAGGAAAACCAAGTGATGCAGAAAGTTCTGAGAGTTCAGATGATGAAAAAGGTTGGGTTGAAGAGGTCAGGAAACAGCGCAAGCTTCTGCGCCAAGAGGAAAAAGTAAAGCGGCAGGAAAGGCTCAAGGAGGATCAGCAAACATTACTAAAACCTCAGTTTTTTGAGATTAAAGAAGGAGAGGAATTCAGAAGCTTCAAAGACTCTGCCAAAAAACAGAAGTTAATGAAGTAAGACAAATGTTCCTACTTTAACAGCGGAGGGTGAAAGATTCTCAAATATTTCTCTATGACACAAGCCAGTGGCATTTTCATTAGTTAGCATGATAGCCTTGGAAGCACTAATAAAGCCACATCTGGTGATTCAGGGATATGACTTAGGGGGGCACAGTCGTTGAAAGCTCTGTTTTGTTCTTAAACAAATACAACATTTCAAGTATGCCAGAGAGACAATGTGAATGAGATGAGTAAGAGGTTAATATTCTCAGCCAGATTTGAGGATCCATTACTCATTGTTGGCAAAGTGCTGCTCACACAAATAATAGCAGTTATGTCTCTGAGACTGGTTATATTTCTCCACTGGTGTCAGTATGAGATTGACAGTCTGAATGTAAAATACTGCCTATAGAATGCTCTGAAAGGCTTGGGAATGCTGCACGATTAGTCCCTATCTGAAGTAGGTTCCAGATTGTAAAAGAAAAAATTGTGCTGTGTAAAGGGCGCACTTATCTTTTAGATTCACGAAGACTTGGCTTGGAGGTGCTTAATGATGCCTGTAAATCTCACTGATATTTTTTCTCAGAAGTGAGTTTAGGCCTTTGGAAGATGAGGTTTAGTAGCCTTTTATTATTTGAAGAGCAGACTCTAATATTAAAACACTGAGGGACAATAGTTTCAAAGTTCTCGCAGTGCATTGGATGCAGGGCAGAATTTTAAGTAGTGTTGGAAACATGCTGTTGGTGTAGATGGATCTTGTAATTGCCATTACTTTTTTTTTACTTCGAATGGAATAATACATTCAAAGAAAAAAAGAAAGAATAATATAGGGATGTTTTTTTTATGTCATGAATAACTGCCAATGCAGCTTAGATGCGTCATGATAGCCATCTTCTGGAGATATGTAAAGAAACACGTGATAAAAATACAGCCTTTCCCTTAACCAAACAAATTTTTAACTGGAATTGTCTTATAAAAAGTGTGACGTGAAAGGAGCCCGAAACAAATGGTCGAAGTGGTCAAGTGGCCTTGTGTTCTCTTTGTCACTGAAATAGTTCCTTTTTAAGGCAGGATGGCTGCAGCCTGCTTGCCTGCTGTTGTTTCACACAAATTTAGTTATGACCTCTAAGTGAAATTTCCAAGGACTCTCAAATTGAAATATTAAGAGTTCGTTTTGCTCAAAATATGGGACACTTGAACGTGAAAAAGCATACTGCAATTTAGGCAAGTAAGCCAAGACAGCTTTAGAGAAGAGAAACGTTTAGAAAAAAGTGTTTTTAAAGAGTGTGACACAGAATGAGGTGAAATCTTTAATCTGTAGTTTAGGGGAAGAAAAATTCTTGCTTCAGCTAGGAAAAAATGAAATCAAATACCAGAGTCCTGTCCAGGAGATGGAGGAATATCAGTGATGTCATAAACCATGGAAAGATTTATGAAAGACTGCTTGAGGGATGAGAGAATCTGCCTTAAGTCTCGCTGTTAGTTCCATGCAGAATATTTTTTGAGGGGTGACGTGTCATTAGGGTTGCTCGGGTTACATGCACTCTCTGCACTAGATTCACAGATGAGACTTGACTTTTTTGGGGTTTTTCTGCCTAAGCAAGAAGTGATCCCATTTGTGTTCATCTAGGCATTGTTCTGACAGTGTGAGCTCAGTGTTCCTCAAATTCAGGGAGCAAACTTTAAAATTACAGCCGGTTATACTGATATGATTACAGAATCCTAATGATTTAGTCTGTGTTGTGACCTAACTTGTTTGGTAAGCATTTTTACACAGCTGAATTTTATGAAAAATACTTAAATGTGTTTTCTGCTGGCCTTCCTCAGTGATAATAGTCAGCATAAAAATAATTAATTCAGCTAGTGTGCTGAAAATTGGAAGGACTGTAGTGGCATGTACAGTCTGGTGGGGCTGGCATGTTTGTCTTTGATTTGATTTATTCAAGCTATGGAATGATGGTCTGTGACCAATATAATTAAGCGCCTTAATACCTTCGCTACGCACTTAATGGCTAGGTGTTCTTTTTTCTCTAATCATATAATGTTCTACCTGAGGAAACAGTTTATGGCTTACATAAAACTGGGTGTTTCTTTTGACATGCTCCTGACTCAGCAGGGCTCCAAGCCCAACTTCTGAAGTGGTGGTGCATACTATAAATTTCTTAGCAGACCAGCAGTCCATGCAGCGCTCTGTGCAGGAAAGCTGCCAAACTTATTTGCGATCATAACAAATACCTTGTCTCAAATCTGTCTACATTTCTCTTCCCCCTTTTGTGTTCTTGTGCTTACATACGAAAACCTGCTGAACATATTAGTAAAGATGCAGAATTTTTCTTTGTTTACTTAACATATAATTTCCTTGCACAGCAACTTGAAAGGAATACATAAAAGGAGAGAGGGTTGTTTTTAATCAGGGTCTGCAAAGCTTTTTTGATTTTCTTGATATCCCTTCAGAATGGTTGTCATTGAAGTTGTAGCCCACAAAAATGACAAACTGAAGTAATCCTATTCAGTCAAGTATAGATCAGTGCAGGAAAGTCAACAAAAGCCAACAAATATAGCTGGCTTTCCTAAGCATTGCTTAAGTGCAATAGCAGGAAAAGTCGTGAGAGACTCTTCTCCGTTGTTTTGTAAAGAGGAAAAGAAGCACCTGGTCAGTTTTAATTTAACCACAAGGCAGGAGAGATTGCTTTTGATAACATTCTTAATGTATCAATGGAATCTATTTGTTGAGAATGATTTTAAAGAGCTCCTAGCAGTGCTAAGCTTGCGTGTATCGGTGTGTGTGATTCACTGTCACTTGGGATCCATGCATTTTCAGATAAATACGGCCATATCTGTGCTTACTCAGTAAAATCCCAAACTTAAAGCCTTTCCTCCTTTCAGTTTTTCTCCTGACTGAAGCAGTGTCTGGGCAGTCATGCCAAATAATTGCTGGGTAGAAGCCATATTTCTCCAACTCGTTTTCAAAGGGGAGAAAAGTGGAACTTCGCTTGGATGTAGAAATCCCACCACAATGTCAGTGACTGATCTTCTGCCATAGTTAGCTCTAAGGCTTAGCTTGTCTTCCTGATTTGCCCAGATGGAACAAGTTTTTACATGTAGGCAATGAAAAATATACTACAGAAAAAGACATACAATCAAAGTACCTAGTCATGAGAAATAAAGTAATTCTCGACAGTAATTTTTCACTGTTAATCTGAAGAGACTGTTGCATAAATGGCTTATTAACCAAAATTCTGCAGACTTCAGAGGCTCTGTGTGTAGAGCACACTGTGTGAGTCTTTCATCCATAGAAAATCCATTGACTTTGGTGGCTGCTACTCGTGTGTATTTTTATGATGATTTATTTTCCACCTTCTACTTCAGGGAAGTGTGTGGCACTGCTGTGGGGTCAGGTTCTCTCTTCAGTTCTCAGACCCACTTGTCTGTGTGTCTTCTACTTGCAAAACTTCAGTTATACTGTTGTGGGACACAGTGTCTGAATAATCATTTCTAATTGGATTATTTAGCTGTTGATGGTGAAGTGATGATTCTTTCTCTGATTAATTCTAACATATAGTCAAGATTAATTCCTTCAGAAGTGTTTCTTAAGCTAGGAATTCTAAGATACCAGCTAAACTGGATCAATCTTTCCTTAAGTATTTTTGTGTGCGTGCTCTGTTACTGCAGCTGAATATACCTGACTTCTTCTAAAATGTCTTGGAAGAGTATAGCAATAGTGGGGTGTGGTCTCCTTCTCAGCTGGAGGCCTGATGCTTTTTTTAGAAGAAAAGACAATGAGCTTTTCAGTAGAAACATTGTTTAAATTTATGTAAGCAGTATCTGGAGGGAGTAATTGGAACTTGTATTTCTTCTCTGTTCATTGGTGATTTAATTTTTAGACATATGGCATTGAAGGGTTGAAGGGCTTCAGGGAGACTAAGATTCATTTTGACTGCGTTACTGGAAGTTCTCATGGTAAGAAGATGGCAAGAGACTAATGTTAATTGTTCTCTGCAGGAAAACTCTCGGAGATCGTTTAAAGCTTGAAGAAAAACTTGGCACACTCAACGTATCTGATACGACAGTGGGCAGCAAACAGGCTACGTTCAAATTAAAGAAGGTGAGATATACATAGATACGTATGATTACATTTAAGAGATGCAGAAGGTATCTCTAGGTTTAGCATGAAGGAACAGGAGCTTTAAATCGGTCAAACACATGTCCCTCTTCATCCCTTCATGTGCTGCCAGTGCTTCTGCTTCTCACCAAGAGAATGAAAGCCTCCGGTAGTGCTCTGTGTGTTTATACCCTTATATGCCAGGAAGCACTCGTAAAATCTTACGTTCCAGTGGAAAATACTGGCTTCCATATTTTAGTAGTTTATTTGCAGAGATATGTCATCAAAAGCTTGTGACCTTAGCTGACATCAGAGCCAGGACTAATCAGATTTTGGTTTGCAGGTCCTGGCACAGTTGGGATGCTGGTGACGGGCTTTCTCCTGACTGATAATGCTGCTGGGTCTCAGCATGATTAAAACAGGGCTCCCGTCCACTTTTATCATTGAACTTGTGTGACGCAGATCATGAGAATGAGCTCTGATCTTGTGTTTGCCAAATTCCATTTGAAGTGTGTGGTTGACTGCTGCCCATCTGCCTTTCCTAAAGGGTTTTTCTTTCCTATCTTGAGGAATTTTGTAGGTCACAGACAGCTGATTATTAAATAGTGCAGTTATAATGGAACGTGTGTGCGTCTGCTACTCCTGCTGCTTAGGTTTGGGGGTCTTTTTTGCTAGAACCAAAGACACATTCAGAAAGCTGAAGATTGGCATTCCATATTAATTGATAATTTTCCAGCTGATAAAATGTACTTCAGTTAAAAATGAAAAAAAAAATTTCTTCAAGTAAGGTTTTTTTCTTTCCAAATATATTTCTTAGCAGCTGTCAAATATTCTTCTCATCAGTAAAACTACCATTACAAAAAAAAAAAAAAAAAGATCAAACTGATCACTTTGTCTATGCCTGAATAAATTTTTAAAAAGCCAAATTTATGGAGGTATTTCTACATTACTTCCTTTACTTGTTCATTTACTGCTTCATCTGCTTTCAATTCTTGTATTTCTGGAATTTAAAGTCTGTTGATGTCTAAATCGGCCACAGATTCCTCTGCAGAATAACCATTTTACCAACTGCTGTAACTGATACGTCAGTGTCTTGCAGCTGTGTAAAAAGCCTTTCTGGGGCTTCTAAAGCACAGTTTTTTTCATAGCCACTTTAAATTAGAAAAGGCTGAGTCACATCGTTTCTTGCAATTGTTGGTAAACAATAAACTTTGTGAAGATTTGGATTCGATCAGATATGCAATAGCTTTGAGTTTTTTAATTCATTGCTGATCATGTACATCAACTGTTAACTGATGTGGCTTTAGTGAAATACAGAAGTTGTGCTTGTTTGTATTTAAAAGATTTTAAAAGTCTAATTAAAAGAAAAAAATTGTCTACATCAAGTGTTGGGAAATAGGGAGAGCTAGGAAGAAGTCCTTGCAGTGTGCTTTGTTTTGATGCTCCTTTTTAGGCCTGAGCAATTCTATGATTCTGTGATAAAGAGAAGCCAAAAGAGAATTCTGTATTACTCTGATCAGCAGCTTCTTGTTTGTGATGCCCCGACCTTAACTTGCAGGAGTATATAGGAGTAAGTAGAAAGGTTTAGCAGGAAAGAGTTGTGCTTCCATGAGACTGATATCATTTGACCTTGTAAGTCAGTGGGATTGGGGCTGTTGTGCTGTAGTCAAGCCTGCAGATGTTCAGCTGCCCCTGGCAGATTCAGCAATGAAATTTTGCCATTGATATTTTGCAGTTTAGTTTTCAGGGGATTTTAATTGGTTCCTACATTGTGAAGTTCTGTTCTGTTTTGTTTTTTCAATTTCAGTGTGCTATATCACTGCAAATTAATATTAAAAACACATTCTAAATTGCTCAAGTATTTACAGTAGTATTGGACATACTTTTTTTTTTTTCTTTTTTTTAATGGGGGGTTCAGGGAAAAATGGGCTGATGTGTTGTTAATTACAGAATTACAGAAGTGTTGTTAATTACAGAATTATTGATGCCGTGGGGATGCAGCTGTTTGAGTTACCGTAACTCTAGCAGTGTTAATGCAGCTAACCTGTGCTGCTGTTGAAATCACTCTAATTGCTGAAGAATTTTATAACATGGACACTTGCCTGAGCATGGGTAGTTCAAGTCTGCTAGTTCCAGTTCATGCTTATTTTCAAGACAAGCACTCAGGCTTCCCAATAAAATAGACATTTATGGCCGTAACAGCATTTCCCTCTGTATATTATGCAAGTTAACTCCTTTTGGTACAATTTTGATGAAGAGGAAAAACATTCACAGGTGCAGAGATTTTTGTTTATTGTCATGTTTAAAATGATTCTAGAATTGTCTACAATGTAGCAAACACTTTCATGAAATTCTAAGACCACATTTTATAAAACCTCTTTGTTTCAGTAAAATTAAGTAAATTAGGATAAGATAATATGGGACCATTTCTGGGAACGTTTCCAGATTTCCCTAGGGGATTTCTGACTTGATATGTAAGTATTTGAACAATGATGTGGTTCATAATTTTACAAGAACTTGAGGGTTTGTTGTTTGTTTATTATTTTTTTTTTTACCTTTTAACATTCTAGACCGAGCACCAGAAGAAACAGCAGGAGGCTGAGAAGCAACATCGTCAAGAGAGGAAAGCTCTCAGGCGCTCTGCTAGTCATCTCAAGAGCAAACATGGAAGGGGACAACGGCTTCATTGATTTATGTTATCTTTTTAAGAAACTTTTTATTTTTAATTTGAAAGAGGGGCTTTGCAGTACCAGTGCATTTGTATTTTGTTTTATTGATGAGCAGAAACCAGAACTTGTAAACTCTGTCTTAGTTATTGAAAAGTTAATGAAAGTGTAAGTATTGTCCAAGGGACGTGGTGCATATGGTATGTTATGAACTCCAGAGCAAACTGTATTTGTGCAGAAATCACCAGCAAGCGGTTATTGTGTAACCCTGTATGTTTTCTGTATAAGAGTTTATGTATACAATGAGGCTGACTGTCTTTAATTTAAGAAAACTGGTTTTGCTTTCTGAAGTCTTTCTTTATGACTTTTTAGATACACAATCGGGAGAAAATTATTTTGTCTAAAAACTTTGCTCTATAAGAGCACAACAATTTTTTTTTCTTTTATGCTTCTTCTTGTATGACGTAACAACTATGTTTTTCAGAAATTGGCTTTGTCTCTTATGTTCTGGGTTGCCTGTGTGTCCAAGAGGAGGTAAAAATGATTGCTGTGAGAGCAACTGAGAATGGCAAATTGAGATTTCATTGAGTCATTCTATAAGCAGGATTCTCTTTCCACACTCATGTACAAAAGAGAATTGGAGAAGAATAGTCAAGTTAAATTTTGTGAGCATTGCATTTAATCAGAAATGGTTTGATATGTTTTGGTAAGCAAGCCATTATTCAAAGTAGGTCAAATAGTGTGTATTTGCATACAAGGCATATTAAGGCCGCACAAGTAACCTCCATTCCTCCAAAGTTAGTTTAGGTAACTAAGTTAAGAAACTAGGACATATATTAAGAATATATTTATTTTGTGTGTCTTATTTTTGATTACCAACAGAATGCTTGTTGCTAAGCGGGGTAGAGCATTTCTTCTTGATACATTTTTAATTTTTTTTTAATCTAAAAAACCCTTAATTCATATATGTCATAGAATCATAGAATTGCACTGGTTGGAAAAGACGTTAAAGATCATCGAGTTCAACCACGACCAAACTATGCTACCCTAACAGCCGTCCACTAAATCGTGTCCCTGAGCAAACTAGTGTAATTCACTAGTTCAGTGAATAATTTTTTTTTACCTTTGATCTTAGGGGAGCTTTGTTATTGCTTTTTAAATGATTTTTTAAATTGTCTTTTCACTGTATCCAAGAACTTTGGATCAATGAATCTAAATCAAAAATCAATGAATCTACCCATGACTATAAATCACTTTGAGACTTGGAAGTCGTTAAGAGTTTTGCTTTATAAACCAGAAAGATTATTAATCCATTCAGATCTTCTGGACAGTATTTATCGTACTATTGAACCAAAAAGTTATGGGGAAATCTTGCTTTCTTAAAGCCTGATGCTTTTCTAACTCAAGATTGATTGTCTTTTAGATGTAGGGTAATTGATCACACATTTGTTTTTTTTTTTCTCTCTGTTTAAATTGTACCTGCTTTCATTTCTTGCTTCTGGTTTTAATTATGTTGTTTCCTTTCATTTAAAAATGTGATTTGCGCAGTACGGTGAGGCAAACTAGAGATAGGAGTATGAGTAATGGATGCCAGCCATTCTGGAAAGTAATCCTAGAAAATTGGTGGCCTCAGATAGCATTTGTAAATGAGAATCTTAGAGTTGACTCAAGAGTCTGAATGTTCATGAGTGGCCTATGTAGCTTCATCAGTTGTGATGTGCCTCTTCAGAAGGGAGACTACTGCATTGTAGATTCTTCGGCTTGTTTTTGCCCAGGAGCACCTGCCTTGTTGATGGTTCTTTGTTCATTAATTTCTTTGTTGTGCACTTGATTGCTCAGGACTTACATGAGATCATAATGGAACAGGCATTCATGTAATATGCAGAAGATGCAAAGCTCTGTGCAGTCTTCATCTTAGCTACAATTCATACTCACCAACGGTTGATGCAGATTTTGAAAGACCAGTGAGAATTATCAGAAGCAGGTCTATAGTTCTAAAGGAGGTGCAGTCCTGCAATAATCAGGAGCAAGGTTCATGAGCTCATGGTAATGAAGTTCCACCAGCAGACCAAATTGACAAGTCTGTAATGAAGAGGCAAATCCAAGGGCAAGCTAGCAGGTAAGGATCTACCTGCTAGCTTGGAGGGAGGTACTTGGGTGGGCCTGGGCATACTTGCAGCATAGCTTAGAGGAGGATCAAGGGTGATGCAGTTCCCAGTCAAAGCCTTTGGCAGAGCTTTCCAGAGCTTTTTCACACAACTCTTCTCGTAGCAGTCCGGTACCCAATTACTTGGCTGTACTCTACTAGAGCTGGCTTTAAGTACAGGCAATGAAACCCTTGGCAAAGGAAGAGGTAGCAGAGCCTGTTAGTGTACTTAGAGATTTGGCAAGAAGCATGTTCAGATTCTTGGGATTGATAAAAAGCATTGATAAAAGACTAGGAGGGAAAGATTTGAGAGCTTCAAGAGAAGCTGACATATTAATGCAGCATCATTGCAACTAATTAACTTCATAATGCAGCCAAAAAAGGCATTTATTAGGGTATCATTTTTGTTACATCAACTTTTATTTAGCTAACCACACCACTTTCCATACTACAGGAATCATTGTTGATTCAGTATGGCCATTCCTAGAAGCTCAGCAGCTGCTGAGGTATTTTTTTGTATTTAGGATTCCTGCTCTGAGGTAAGTGACTGTATGCTGTAGCCTTCTGGAAACCCTGACTTTTTGTATGTATGAAATTTAGTGGTGATAATCAGTTAGAAAAAAAAAAGAAAAAAGAAAAAGCTCACTGTGAGTAACTTCCCTTTTAGAGGTTAAATGTGAGTGGAATTGTGGAATACTAGCGAGAGACAGAATCTGATGTACTTGAGTACTTGAGCTTATACTTGAGTACTTCTTTATTCCACAAGCACTGTTGTTTACATCAGGCCTTCAGTCATTCAGCTAACAATGAACCAGAATTTCTTGTGTAACTTTCTTTTAAAAATGCTGTTAACAGACCAAGAAGCAGTTCCTGTGGCTGCATAATTGTTTGAAATGGAGGGCATTCTCCAGTTTACACACAACAGGAGTGCTATGCTCCTTAACTGTGGCAAAGAGGTTCTGCTGGCCAGCAAAACTCCATGCTTCACTCTCTAACCATCTCCTCACTTAGCAGATGATGGGTGATGTGAAGCACTCAGTCTCTATTTTGTCTCTTGGCCCAGGAGGTTATGAGGATATTTCAGAAGTGATTCGATTCTCTCAGGGATGCCATGACATCACAGAACTTGCCTTCCCAGGCCCAAGATGGTGCGTTGGGCAGTGGCATGATTTACCAGGTATGTTTCTGGCCACCTGGTTAGAAACCTTCTACCGTTGTGAGTATGTAGTGCATGGTCATTTCACTAGGCCTCACCTTATTGGAATCCTTTCCAGAGGTTACTGTTCTGGAGGGACTTCAATCACACAGCTAGCTTGATTGCAGCACGTTCCACACCGCTGGGTGAGCTGTGTGGTAGCCTCGATGGACAGGTCCATCCCTCAGTCAAGAGCCCATCTGTGTGTGGCATCTCTCCACAGACACCCTGATATTTCATGGATTCACGAAGCCACAGACAGCTCCTAGTCGAAGGAGGGCCACTTCAGTTTTTGAAACCCAGTCTACTTGCTTATTTTTCTGGTATTCTTCAGAGGTTTGTTTCTTGAGTATGTGAGCATCTGTGTGCTGTACTTCTACAACAATGTTTTCTGCTTGGACAGCAATGCCTTGTATGTCTTGTCACAGTGCAACAGCCCAGATGAGTTCATCTCTGCAACACTACTGTTCTGCTTCCATTGCTGTAGCCACTCCCACAGGGTATTTGGCACAATCCATGACCCATTGTAGATTACTGTCTGCTTTCTTCTTTTGGCAATTTTTAGGGCCAGTTGGATGTCTTACCTCTGCAAATAGGTTAAACTTGCCTTCTCCTTCAGTACCTTCCTCATCTCATCACGTTGGACTCTATACAGCAGCTTTCTACTTCTGATGGGTTCCTGCAACATGGACAGGATCCAGCAGAGACTGAAACATGCAATTTCTGTCTCTTCTGTTCTTGTAGTGCTCTAGAGCTCAGGGTGTATTTTCATTCAAGTATTCCATTGGGTTTTTTTTACGATTCTGCACTTCAGAGATGAAATTCAAAACCATCACAACCATGACAGGTACTTGTCCACGTTCTCCCACATACCTTGCCACCCATCACCACATTGCCTTGGGGCAGATACCTGGTGATATTCTTAACTGTTTAATCCTAGGAAGAAACAGAAGCACATGGAGGCTTAGTAATAAGAGTGTGTTGGTTTCATCAGCAAAAAGAACTCTCTACACCAAAATCAACCTGTCAATGTGGACAATTTACACATTCTCCACCCCTCATCCTATTACCACATTACTACCTCGCATATTCTTCACAGCTGTTACGTCATAAATTCTTCTGTTACATTCTTAGTCAATGTCCAGTCTGTGTTTTGCCCATTACTTCTCTGCGTTATCATTCTTAAGTTTAATTCCTTGAGCCCAAAGGGGATGCCACAAACAACTGAGGTGGTTTCATACTGATGGGCAGCCTCTCTCATTCCAGCTCCTCAAAGGAAAAGGGAAGGGGAGAAAATATGATGAAATACAAAAGGCTTGTAGGTTGAGATAAGGATAATGTAAGTAAGGGGGAAAGAAAGAGAAATACAATAATAATTAAAAAAAAAAAAAAAGGAAAAGCCATGTGGAAGAAAAGAGAGGGAAAATAGTTATTCTCTATGACCTGTCACCAAAAGATGTTTGGAAAAATCTTGTAACACAGGACTTCATTGCATGTAGCAGTTATTTGGGAGCACAGACATTTTCATAACAAGAGCTCTCCTCCTTCCCCTTTCCCACTTCCAGTGCTGAGCCGTGGTATGGAATGTGTCTTTGGTTGGTTTAGGCCAGCTGCTCTGGCAATGTCTTCTCCTCACCTCTTGACCACCCGCCACCTGCTGGCTTTTGGGGTACTGGAGAGAGTCTTAATAATGGGCCGGTGCTGTGCAGCAGCAGCCAAACCATTGGTGTGATATCAACACTGTTCTGCTACAGCTCAGAGCACTCGTGGGGAACGTTAACTCCAAGCCAACCAGACCCAGTTCTGAGGGAGTAAGAATTTTCAAACTATTCCATCTTCCTTTGCGTCAACCTTTTCTGTGTGCGTGTGTTTGCGTTAGGTGGGAAAATGAGTAATAGACCTGAGTTCAAGGAAGAGAGACTCAAAGGGCAAACTTCCAATTTTGTCTGCAAGTAGCAGAAC